TCGAGAAAAAAGAAAATAAATTTTCAGACATTTTAATTGTTGTTTTGCAAATTTTGAATCTTCATTGAAGTAAGTTTTGAAACAATTATTAATCGACGCACGAGGATAGTGCTTCATGTTAGTTTTACATTTCTTGCTGTTTATTGTAAAAGCGCATAATATTAGACATTCGAATCATTCTAAAACAACCGAACTTTGTGCTAATTGATGAGTGCACATCTGTTTCATGGATGTCGTGATAGATAGCAAGATATTAATTAGGAATATTTTACAATCATAATTGTGACTTATATCTATAATGTCACGACCCTTGTGAAACTGTTGAACGATTATACTAACTAGCACATCTAATGTAAAATAATTATATTCTTTAATTCTTTTAATAAAAACCTGGAATAAACCATCTTGATCCTTCATTCATAAGTGGCTTTGATGAAAACGTTGACTACTGAACAGGGGGGAAAAAACGGAATCCTGGAATCTTGAATTCCTCTGGATTCCAAAGATTCCCTGTGATTCTTTCGGATTCCAAGGATTCCATTGGATTCCATAGGATTCCATAGGATTCCATTGGATTCCATCGGATTCCATTGGATTCCATTGGATTCCATCAGATTCCATCGGATTCCATTGGATTCCACGATTCCGTGGGATTCCATTGGATTCCATCGGATTCCATTGGATTCCACGATTCCGTGGGATTCCATTGGATTCCATAGGATTCTCTAGGATTCCATGACATTCTTTTGGATTCCTTAAAACTTCTCTAGATTTTCAATTAGCTTCTAAAGCTGTCGAAGAACTGCATCTGTATCACCCTTAGGTTTCTGTGCTGGTTTTTTTGGTTTTCTTTATTGTATTCGTTTGCGGTTATTGATATATGTATATATCGATGACTTGATATTTGTTTGCTGAGTCGTAGTTCATAGGGTTGCATTACCTCCACTAGAAGCATTGTGACCGAGCCGATCTCCTCATGTATCTATCAATAGATTTAGATCGATTTATCTTATCAGATGTCTAAGTATATAGTTGCATCAGTGAAATTCTTTATTAATAAAAAATTTTTGATATTTTTGGTGTCAATCATCATATAATTGATGTTTCAATATACAGAAATATTCGAATCGTTTTTTATTTAATTTTACTTGCTTCCTTCCATAACTCGTGATAACCTATCGGTTGACAGACGATCATTTTTGTCAGTCAACAGCCATACTGCTGACTGTTTATGTAAGAATTTCGTCGTATCATTAATTTTCACCTTGAAATATGAGTTTGCTAAATCAGGATTAATTTTATCTTTGATACGTGTTCCAGAAAAAATTGTTTTTATAGATTGAACACTTTCAGCATTTTCTTCATTATCAGATGCAACATCCTCATCTTCATCACTATTATTATAATCGTTGTCTTCATCATCGCTATTTTCATATTCACAATCATCTGATTCTGAATTCATGTCGTCATCAACGTTTATTGTTCCTGTTAAACTATCAGACACTCTTGACTTTGAATTTAATTCATTAAACATAAATTTACTTAATTTTTCTAATTTATAAATTTGATGGTTTATTAATAATGTTGCTATTCCTAAATTTTCAATTAATTCAATTGATGCTTCATATGATTCTAATATAACTTGTTCTATATCCAAATAATCAACATCATCTAAATTTTGTATTATAGATAAATCATTATCAGCTTTATGTTTATGATGAATTGGGAATGATATGCGTTCACCACTTTGATTTGTTGATTCATTACATTTTATTTGATTTAGTAATGATAGTTTTGCAGCACGTCGAAGGAAATCATGAATTGTAAAATTTACAATTGTTGAATACACACCACTTAACGATCGTGCATTCCGAAACATTCCTTCACACGATTGTGAATTGAATAAAAATATATGTAATGATTCTTTTGGTAATTGTTTTTGTTGGACTAATAATATCAGATATAATAAATTATGAGCATTTAGCTCAACTGATAAATACGCTGTTCTTGTTATAAAATGTTTGTCTTTATTTATTTGTGTTGATGATTGATTTTTAAATATTTTCTTTTTTAGCCATGCTAACCATAAACGACAGACGAAAACAGTTATCCAGGCTGATTTTAAGCCTAAAAGAAAAAAAGATTATATCAGCATCAAAAATGAATCGCCCAGCTGACAAAATTCGCTATTTTTTTATATCATATATCACAAATTTGGTGAGCTAAAGTGTTACTTTTTTTCAGCGTGAAAAGAGCGAATAATGATCTTTCTTAGGATAAAAATTACACAGTTCTAGATCTTTTACTTTTCGAGATGTTATTACAAAAGGAGAATAAAGTTCATTAGCTGATTAATTAATGTTTGAAGTCACTGTTATAATCAAATGGAGTGTAATATTATTTTTTTTATTCAAAGGAAAATATATAAAACACAGTACATAGTAGTTACAAGATTTTGTTAGGAATAATCATATAATGCTCTAGCAACTTACGTGTTTTGAGTGATGTTGTTGGTTCAATATATGCTATTATTATTAATCTTAATAATTGAAGATAAACAAATGTTCCTTGTGTATTAGTATTATTTTTTAAAATATTTAATACATCATCTGATGCTAATCTCTCGCATGATCGATAGTTTTGACGATCTTTTGGATTTAAATCTGTTTGAATTAAATTATGATCTAACCTTGTATATTGTCCGCTCTGAATAATATCTCGTAAATGCTCAATAGTAATTGTCTGTTCACCTATACATAATTGAGCTGTTGATGATAATAAACGATTCCTCCATTTGGTAGCCAAATGTGTTGCATCTTGTAAAAATAAGAATAGTTGTTCTTGGCGAAGGTAAAACCAACACCACTCTGATGTTAAATTTATTTTAAATGCATTTGGATGTTGATGTAACTTAAAATTCGGTAAAGATGCGAAAAAACCACTTACTAGTCTCATTGCTCTCATATATTTACTGTCAGCATCTACCAAAAAACAAAATAAACGGAAGTAAATATACTGTGTAGTCATTTATATTCACCAGAAGATTGTACAGACTCAAAAATGATATATTACCTGAAGAAAAACCTATAATTCGAATTTGATTTTTTATGCAACCTTCATAAATAAATAACCATCGACGTAAAACATCATTTGCTGTAAATGTATTTTCAACACCGTAGGCAGATAGTAAAAATGGACTTGGTATACTTGTAGGATTTGATGGTAATGGTTGAAACATATGTATGTTTAATAGTGGTGCTTTGTTAATCGTGCTGAACCAAGTCTTTAGTTTTTCAAACGAATCAGTTTGATAATATTGCAAAATCGGTATTCCATTATCAAATGGTGTCGAAAAACCTATGAAAGAATTGGTTTTAACATCATATTGTATCTTACGGATAATACCAGTGCAATCTTCTGATACAAAACCAAATTGTACATTATTTGAGTTTAAATATTGCTTTAAACTATCAAACTGAAATTCACCTTCATTTATAATGTGATTTGAATTTACACGTCAAACAAATTTAATATCATTGTCAACAGCAAGCGGTACTAAA